GCAGCTTGGCTGGCGGGTGCAGGAGTCCAGGGGTGCCCTGGAGTCAGGTTGGGGAGACTGGGAAAGTCAAAGCTGGCGGCAGTGCGGGGGAGCTGCTGGTTCCCGAGGAGGAAGTCGGCCAGGGCGCGGGCTGTGTTGCTGTGGTTCTGTGAGGAAGGTCCTTGCTCTTGGGGCGCAGGTGCTGAGAAGTCCCTGATAAAGCTAAAGCTGTAGCACAGGGAAGTCCTGGCAGAAGGTTAGAGCTGTTGCTGTCAGTGAAAGTCATGGACAGCCATCCTTAGGAGCAGGACTCTCAGCCCCAGAGGCGGGGTGGCAGGAAGAAGGTGGTGAGCGCGTCCAGGAGAGCTTCGAGGTGGGTCTTGAAGAACGAGTAGGGAACAAACATGCACAAAAGCTCGGAGCTGGAGAAGAAAACCTCGAGGTGGAGGTGTGAAGGGAGATTTGTAGGTGATTTTTTGTCTCCCCTGCCTGCCTTCCCGTTTACATAGTGACTACAGCCTCTCCCGTTTCTCCCCTCGGCCCTACATAAAAACATTGGGAAATTGTGGTAGGGGAGAAAAGTCTCTGCCCTCATCCGCCCGCTTGGGGGTTGTGTATTTGGGGGGTAAAGTGCCCCGGGTGGGTCTGGGGGAGGAGGGCTTCTCAGGCCTGCCTGAGGGCTCTGGGAGCTGGGCTTCACCCTCCAGGCCATGGGCCAGGGAAGGGCCGTTTTGAGGCCTCTGCTTTTTGTCATTTTTCAATATTTATATACACAATTAACTGGGGTATAGGCCGGAGGTATGGGGGTGAGAGGCTTCATCAGAGAGAGTGGGGAGCAGAACGGGCAGATTGCTGAAGCACACTGCTGAGGGCAGCAGCGAGAGAGGAGAGGTCTGCTGTGCCCGGGGGTCCCTCTGCTGACAGCTTCACAGTGCCCCCGTCTTTTTTAAAGAGTGACAGCCCCCAAAAGTTACATAACTGGGCCCTGTGATGCTGAATGGCTGCTCCCACTCCTCCTAATCCTGTTCCCGTGGGAGCTGCGGTCACAGCTATTCCCAGCCTGGTGCTGAAGGCCAGCGCTGGCTGCCCACGGCCGCATTCTTGCCCGTGAGCTCATTGTTTTGGCTTCTCTGTGCAAGTCCGCAGCCTGCCAGAGGCCTCGCGCCCCGACTGGCCGGAGCTGCATTCCATTCAGAACTTCGCCACCGCTTGGGTTTCTGCCCACCCTCCTGCAGTCACATGTGTGTTTATTCCAGGGCGCCTGGGACAAGGTGTGCTGGGAGAGCGCCAGAGCCGCGCGGGACTCGGGTTGGGCTGTCGGCTCATGGTGAGCGAGCGGAGGGTCCCACTTACACCCTAGCGAAAGACCAGGCCTAGCAAGGCTCGCTTCCATGTCCGCTGGTTTGGAGAGGTCCTCGCCTCCCTGCCCCCGCTGGGCTGTCTATCTGCAGGCGGCCAGGTGTCGAGAGCAGGAGGTGGCTTTCCCAGAAATGTGGCTTCCTGTGCATTTGAGTCCTGGGTTTCTCCTCGGCCCACAGGCCCACACCTCCTTGCCGGGGTTGCCTGGACAGCTCCCCACCCACCTCCTGGCCTGAGGAGATGGAGGGCGGGCTGTGGAGGAGACAGCTGGGCTCCTGGAGGGCGCAGCTGTCCCTCACTGCTTTGTTACTGACATTTCCTGAGGACAGTTTGTTTTTTCCTTAGACCCTGAAAGCCAGCGCTGAGTGAGGCCCCCGCAGCCCACCTAGGGAAGGACTTTGGTCTCCCTTTGACAAAGTTTGGGTTCTTACAGATGGGCTTGAGCAGAAGACTCCTAACTCTCTCAGTCATTAAAAAAAAAGAAAAGAAAACTGGAGGGTGAGGTTGTGGGCGGTGACGACCATATTTTCCTTTCTCAGAAACCTGAGGCAGTGTAGAGAAACAGAAAGAAGGAAACGACTTTCGTGTCGAAAGAGGCCTGTCTGTGTGTTTTGAAATGAGGTGGCTTGTTTTCTTCTTTGAGGAACAATCCCTTTTCTCAGTCAGGACAGCGACGTGTGTACCCCTTTCCCATCACTGGCGGCCATGGAGGGTGTATGAGGAAACATCTAATGCAGAGCGAACATTCCATAGGTGATCCGGAAGAAGACTTGGTTGTGGGCCTCCCTGTTCCAGTGCAGCACTATGAAGCGACTGCAGCCGCTGCAGCGGCAGCTCGACCCCCAGCCAGGGAGGGACCCCAGGGCGCCGCAGACTTCTGTCTCCCCGCAGCCCCCTCAGTGTGGATTTCAATGGATCCGCCTGTGCTGATCCCCGCTCTGTCTCTGGGGAGCCCTCTCACTGCCCCCACCCCCACCCCCTGTCACGCCTATGGCCTGTACCTCAGGTCTTGTATGCATAAATAAATAAAATCTCTTTTTAAAAAAGACTGCATTGCTTTTTAAGTACAGTGTGTAAAGGACCAAACTTTAAGGGACCATTCAGTCACCACATAAGCCTGTTTCCATGACAGTGTACCTTAAAGGTCACACTGTTTAAATGCTGAATACACCTGACTGGCCTCCCTGGTGGCCAAGGCATTGAGTCTCTGCACTATCACCAGTCATCCTCTGCCTGGGCTCCACCCCCAGCCAGGGAGTAACCGCCTGACCTCTCCTGTCTCCCCACGGCTCCCCTCAGCAGTGGATGTCAGTGGATCCGCCTGTTCTGCTCCCCACTCTGTCCCGGTGGATCATCTCACCCCCTGCACTTCTGGCCTGTACCCCAGTGCTGTCTGCATGCATAAATAATTAAAGAAATACAAAAGGTGTACTTATGCACACACAACTGGGGTACAGGCCAGGGGTGCAGGGGGTGTGAGAATTCACCAAAGACAGTGGGGAGCAGCACAGGCGGATGAACTGAAATCCGCTGCTGTAAGGGGCCCAGCAGACGGGTCAGGCAGGCTCTGCTGCGCCCTGTGGGTCACTCCCTGGCTGGGGATCGAACTCGTGCTGCAGCAGCGGCTTCTATAACTTCACAGTGCTGCATTTTAACCCACTGCACTACTGGGGAGGCCCATACATACGTCTTTAAAAAACCCAAAATACTGAATACATTTAAAAAGATAATTTGTTGAAATTCTGGGTCGAAAAACAAGATAATTTTTCCAAAATGCTGAAAGTATTGAATTGCATTTGAAAACAAGAACTCTTAAAGCCAAGTCTGGATCACTGTGGTGTTTTGAGGAAATTGAGAACAAGGCGAGGGGCCCCCCGGGATTGGAGGTGAGGGCCACCAAGGGGAACGCGAGAGCGGAGCCGCGGGCCTACACTCGTCTCCCTGTGAGCTGGGTGTAACTGCTGTCTCCTGTCACTCTGCGGGGCTCGCAAGAGAGCAAGAGAACAAGCTGCGCCTCGCAGCCTGCCGGGCGAGGAGCTTCGGGACGAGCCCCCGGCTGCCCCGCTCGCCCTTCCCGGGTGGTTGGGTTCCCAGGAGAAGCCACTGAAAACCAGCATCGCAGACGGGTAGTGGACTAGAAGATTCTCCAGCTGTGTTCTGAAGCCCAGAGGGGACAAAGGCGGGCCCTTCTGTGGCCGGACAGAGCCACCAGCTGGATGGAAAAGTCTCGGGGGGGGGGCCAGTCGACGACCGCCAGCGTTGCCACGAGCTACCATGAGCTGGGGTTGAAAAGTGCATTTTTGTGGGAAAAAAATACCATGACATGCTGAAATGATAGGAAATGAAAACTTGAGCGACATGACGCTCGTGGGAGCACAGCCCTGCCGTCTGCTTACACCTGTCTCCAGACGCCTCCTGCCCCAACAGCAGCTGGGTGGTTGCACCACAGATTCGGTCTGGGAGGGGAATTACTCACTCCCCGGCCTCTAGGGAAGGCGGCGGCCCACCCTCACCAAAACGCAAGGAGCCTTGGCCGTGATGCAAGAGGCAGGCAACCAGGAATCCATGGTCAGAGCCTGCGAGGGCGGGGGGGGGG